AAAAAAAAAAAAAAAAAAAAAAAAAAAAAAAAAATCTTAAAAAACCAAAATATCTAGAAAGTCTGAAGAACTTTAAACAAATCTATTTGAAAAATTAAAATTACTATAAACCTGAATTTAAAAAAAAAAAATAATATTCCCCCTAAAAGAACTAAAAAACCAGGTACAAATATGTCAAAACGAAGTTTTTTGGTTAACCAGAGTTAATTTGGAAAAAATTGTTATGGTTAATTGTTAGTGAGATTTTGAGTTTATATTAAAATAATATTCAAAATAAAACAACTACTGTTGGTTTGATGTAAAAGTAGAAGAGAAATGATCTGAAGTGCTGGTTAGTTAAAACTATTGTATGTGAGTTGGTGAATAGTGAATTAAATTTAATGTGACGTGTAAGAATGATTGACATATATTATTTAATTATATTGATAATATTGAGGATAGTGGAGTTGAGTTAAATTTTGAGTCTGAATTAAATATGGATTAAAATTATTTGTATCCAAACACACCCTCAGAGAACTAAAAGAATTGACAAAAAATGAAAAACTAAAATCTAGGATCTATCTGACCGTTGGTAAGCTATAGTAACAGATCCACAAGAAAGATTTATCTCAATATCATCACACAAGGTGTACACTTGGTGCAATGTAATCAGCACCAATATTACCATTTTTTCTGTGAAGTTACTGTCCGTATAGGGCACCGATTTATTTTTACAGCAAACAATGTTCCAACAAATGTGATGATGAAAAAGAACAGTAGGGAGCAAACCTCATAATTTGCAGTTCTTTTCAGTATTTGATATTTAGGTGATTCCAGGTCAGGAGTCTTGTAAAAGCGCAGCTGCACACATAAACACGTCGTAAAAGTGGAGAAGTTATGTAAAAGACAAATGATTGTGGCAAATGCTAATTCTGGCCGTACCTGCTTTAACACATCAAGCAAGCCTTCCACTGAAAAATAGTCATTATTCTCAATGGAATCCCAAAAATCCTTAACGAACAGGGAAAAGATAAATTGTGATGGGCTAAACTAAACATAACATTACACGCTTTTAAGTTTCTCGTATGTCAAAAGTCACCTTACCACATGGCTGCAAAACTTCATAGTTTCAGGATTAACGCCCATAACAGAAGTGCCTGTGAAGACTAACTCGGGTTTCCAAGGTAAGAGGATGAACTTCATCACCATTGTCCACCGTGTAGTTATCTCGTACGGTCCTGTCTAGAAACCAAATAAGTCACTCGAAGCGGGTTGGGACTCGGGATTTATAGAATTTTTTCGTACACCATTGAAAACGACTCGACTTAAGCGAAGAAGACGTCTAAGTATTGACTGAACTCTTCCGAAAATTACAGTAATCAATCATGAAAGATCCATATCAACTTCAGGAATGAGGTAATAAATTGGTTCAACTAACACACACTTGAAGATAAGGCAATTCGAAGAACATGTAATTGAACATCAAACAGCGGGAACATTCAATTCTACAACAGCAAAATGATTATCAAAGGCTTAGCACGAATGAGCAACTACTATAGCTAAAACCCAAAACACAAATTCCAATTGAAACTATTTCAATTAACAATTCAGATTTTCCCCTTTTCAGATTGATCAAGAGAGATAATTAAGAAAAAAAAAAAGATGCTTACGAAACACCTGTTTAACCCAGTGCAGCTGGAAATCAGGGCTGAAGAGCTTCCTCAACATGGCGATGTTAAAAAGGTACCCACTTACGGTGTCGTGCTTCGTAATCGGGTCCCTGAACTTCACGCGCTCATCGTAAGCCGTCCGATCGATACCCCGATCATCGAATAGATGGGGAAGATCCTCGTACAGAAAATCAACCAATCGCCGGCCGACATCCGTGGCGGCGGCGCTGGTTTCTGTTGGGCTTTCCTCTTGGGCTATGCTTCTTAGCCTGACCGCGCACTTGGGATTTTTGCATTCTGAGATTCTATATGCCAGAAATTTGGTTTTCTGCGAGTAATTTGGTGACGAAGTGAAGGAGGAGGTTGCGGCGGTGGTCAGGTGGCGGCGGCGGGTTGGTGGCCGCAGAATGGTGGCGGGAAGATGTGTGGTGGCCATTGCCATTGGGCTACTTTCTTTATCTTCAATTTTATTATTATTATTTTCCTTTTTAGTTTGTCTCATATGACGTCATAAATCCAAACATGAAAACGTGAATTTCTATTTTCTCGAGTGGACCATATGATTTCCTTGTGTGTGGAGATTAGAATTTAGAAGACAGATAGTTATAATTGTTACACTTATTTTATGCTATGTGGTAAAAACAACTTATAAGCTCCTTGATATCTTATATGTTTGATTGATATATAAGTGAATTTCGAGCTTATATCCTGATGACTTAAAACTATTGCTGAAAAGCTAACTAATATGATAAAATATTTAAAATTCATTGATACATCTAAAATAAAAAATTCAACGAGTTTATTTGGAAAGTTGTCCAGCTTATGAGATAAACTCGATTTTTTTAAAAATGTTCATCCTACCAAGCTACTAAAGACGTTATTAAGTAATTAGTATATTTATTATTAGTATCAATAATATATTTGGTAGGATATTTCTAATGTTCAAAGTCCTTGTCGGAAAAGTTAGGAATCTAGAGATTTGAGAAGTCTTATTTAAGGACACGTCTTATTTTGTTCTAGGCAATTAATGATTGAATAAAATTTACGTGTTTACAAGAGAAATATATTCTCTTATTTCTTGTTCGTAAGCTGCGCTACACCAGTTGGTATCAGTAATCAACTGCGATCAACGATGTCGCGATGAAGACAAGATGTTGCAGACGACAAGCGTGATTGTGCCATTGACAAATCGAGTTGCCAGGCCAAGGGGTTTGGCCGCCAGTTCGAGGTGATGGGTCGTCATATTGCAGATCTCTCAGCGGGGATCGGGGATATACGATTGACTCTCCAAACCATCGTTCACGGTGAGCACCCGAACCGCGACATGATCGGTCGGGGTGGTCGCAGGGGAGTTCACGGTGGGTGTGGAGGACGAGCTTAGAAGAGGCGCCCCGCCAGCGTGCGCCACCACCATTGCACGACTATGAGGACGACGAGGTCACGCTGAGGACGACGAGGACACCTGGTCGGAAGTAAACCCGTTCGGCGATTACCAGGCTCGACGGGATGTTGCAGATAGCGACGATCTCCGTTTTCACGACCCTCAACATGAGGCAGAGGGTTTCAGCGATCCCTATTATCACGACCATCGTTGAGCAGACGATGGCTTCAGCGATCCCCGATTTTACGAACCTCGACGGGTGGCCGAGGGTTTCCGCGACTTCCGTTGGGAGTCCGTGTTTCGCGTGGATGTCCCAGAGTTCTCCAATGGGTTAGGCGCAGTTGACTTCCTCAACTGGTTGACACCATCGAATCCATTCTCGAGTACAAAGACGTCCCGGACAATCTCCAGGTGGCTCTCGTCCGACCCGACCCGCAAGTCATGCTCACAATGCTCAGCAAGTGACAAGTGGTGTACTTCAAAACAAATTAAGGTCCATTCATACTACTCCTATACATATTTTAAATTTGGAGGCCTAAATTATTTCACCAAAATTCTGCCCTTTTGTGGAAATTTCCCCATTGAATGCGCAACTTTTAATGGCAAGTTGGGTCATTGGTGGCCCATTCGCATTTGGATCATTTTCTCAATAATTTGCTTACATTTTTTCGTCAAAAGCCGTGAGAACGCGTTTTTAAGAGCATATATACAAATTGGTCTGCACATTTGAAGCTAGTGATGTTATCAAATTTGATTACTTTATAGTTGAATTCCTGCTGTTTTATAGAGAGAAATTTAGATATATAGACTTTGTGTAACAGATATTTATATATATACGAACTATAAACTAAAATTAAAACGGTATTTCGATGTGATTTTTTTATTTTCACATTTACCAAATTTCTTTCTCTGGTTTCACGAATATCATACCTACAATTTAAGGTTTCACGAATTCAAAAATTCAAATGGCATATTCTATTCATCGACCTCTTGCAGTCGAAAAAAAGAAAGGGCACCAGAAGATTCAGAAGGTGATGGTTTTTACAAAAGATTCCGCAAGCATGTTGCCGAGTCGCTCAACAGTTACATTTAGAGATGTTAAACGGGCTAGCCCTTACGGTTTCGGGTTGGCCTTAGCGAGCTTAGGACTAAACGGTCTGGGCCTAAAAAGCCCAGATTTAATCGGGCTACCAATAAAAGGACCTAACTCTAACCCTAGCGGGCTTCGGGCTAAACGAACTATAATAATAATAATAATAATAATATATATAAAAAAAACGTATAAATAAAAATTACAAGCGGGCTTCATTATTGAACACTAGTTACAAATTCTTAAGTGACATATTTTTCTCAAAAGAAAAAAAAATGTTCGAACTATTACTTATAATTACCATTTTACTACTTATTTTTGTACGCTTTAGAAATTTTCACGATATTGTATCTTACTGCTGAATTTATATTTCACTATGTCTATGTGTTAGGTCTTTGTCTCATGTGTTTTCTATTAGCCGTTCTAATTGGCTTAAATAATTTAGTGTGAAGTAGAATAACGAAGTTGTTAATAATTATCTTTCAAAATCATAATAACCGGCTACAACTCATAGTTACATATGAAGTAGAATAGTAAAGTTGTAATATACAAGTTAAACGGGTTAGCCCTAGCGGGCTTCGGGCTAGCCCTATCGGGCTTCGATCTAAACGGTCCGGGCTTAAAAACCCCTGATTTAAATGAGCTACTAAAAAAAGGCCATAACCTTGTTTTTCTTCGGGCTAAACGGGCCGGCCCGTCTGGTCAAGGACCGTTTAACATCTCTAGTTATATTTTTTAATCGTGTCGGTTGATCATTTGGCCCAGCATCTGCCAGACCTGCATGACCCACAGAGTTGACCCAAACCCGACAGGTCTCTGTCTGAAAAAAATTGAAAAATCCAAGAAATAGGCTCGGAACTGTCGGAATTGGGCCTGAATCGGCCCTTACATATAGCCAGGCCGATTCAAGGTCTTCTAACAAGGGACCCGAAACTGGCACAGGGTTTTGGCCATGTCTAATTAGAAGGGCCTAGACGTTAGGCCATCATAATATTTACACAAATGTCATACTTTTTTTTAAAAAAAAAAAAGAAAAATTATTACTAAAAAAAAAATATAAGTATATGATATTTAAATTATGTTAATTGGTTGTTTGTTTCTTTCCACAAACTATGACGATTCCACCCAACTCGTGTTACCCACCAAAAATTAAAAAAAAAATATATATATATATAAAAAAATGGTGGAAGGCCATATATACTACAAGCTAGTGGCTCAATCACTAAGTCAAAAAGTCATCATGCAGTGCCAAAATAGAGGAAATACTATGGTCCGTTACGGAATAATTCCGTTGAATTTGTAATCGTTAGATCATTATGTAACCGTTTGAGATAATTGATCTAACGGTTACGAATTCCGACAGAATGGTTTCATAACGGGATCGTAACATCTCCCCAAAATAAATCGGCTGATTATAATGCTCCAGTATTAACCCCAACGACTCGAGTTTGACTTCCATTTCCTACCCATCTAATGCCCTAAATAAATTCACAAACACATCACACAAAATGCATCACCAAACTTATCAACAAAAAAATCCACAAAACCTCACTTATAATGTAATTCTAGCTTTACCCAGCCTGCAAATTCAAAACACCAGCAAACTCATCACAAGCAAAAACAACACCCAAAAACACATTAAAACCAATGCCCAAAATGAACACCAAAATCATAATCCTCTTCCTCTTGCTCACTCTGTTCATTCCCCACCTCTGTTTTTCTGTACAAACAGACACTCTCACACCCAACACAACCCTCCGAGACCCCGACTCGATTGTCTCCAGCCGCAACATCTTCAAGCTCGGCTTCTTCACACCCGAAAACACCACTAACCGTTACTTAGCCGTCTTCTACACCTTCTCCCCACAAACCGCCGTCTGGGTCGCGAACCGCGACCGGCCCCTCAACGACACCTCCGGCTCCCTCACCTTCTCCGAAAACGGCAACCTCGTTCTTCTTGACTCCCGAGGTCAAACTGTATGGACAACGAACGTCACCTCCCGAGCCAACACCACCCTTCGCATTCTCGACAACGGAAACCTCGTCCTCCGGGAAGAAGCCTCCACCCTATGGGAATCCTTCTCCCGACCAACCGACGTCTTCCTCCCCACCATGAGAATAGTCGACGACCCGAGCACGGGCCACAAGGTTGTCGTCTCGTCTTGGAAGAACGAGTCGGACCCGGGAACGGGCCTCTTCACCGCGGGCCTCGAGGCCCGGCCCGTACCCCAGATCGTGACGTGGAGGAAAGACGGGCGGCCCTACTGGCGGAGCGGGCCGTGGAATGGGCAGATACTTATCGGGGTTCGGGACATGTACTCGCCGTACCTCGATGGGTTCAGCGTGGTGCAGGTGATGAAGACGAGATTGCGTTGGCTCTGTGGACAAATATGATATTGGTTTAATTATTTATTTCCTTTATTTTATTAATTTATTTCTTTTATTTTAATATTTATTAAGGACATCTTAAATTTGATAGGAAACTTATTTATTTTATTGGAGTCATTTACTTGTTTGACAATATATTTACTTAGAGATAGGGGCTCTGTTGAAACTCATCTTCAATTGTTTTGAGAGTTGAATTTTGATTGAAATCTCTCTTTATTATCCCATTTTTTAACGCTTTTTCAATGTCAGCAGGGCAGCGGGGGAGGAGTCTATTTCACGGCCCCGGAGGCTCGGTTTTTCATGAGGATCACGTTGGAATCGTCCGGGAGGCTCGTGCAGACGCTGTGGAACGACGGGACTGGGAGATGGGACGTGACGTGGGCGGCCCCACAGAACGAGTGTGACGTGTACGGGGCGTGTGGGCCCCACGGGAGCTGCGACTCGAGGGGTTCGCCTGTTTGTTCTTGTCTGAGAGGGTTCGAGCCGGCGAATGCGGACGAGTGGGCGCGCGGGAATTTTACAGGAGGGTGTCGGAGGAGAATGGCGTTAGCGTGTAGTAATGCAGGGCAAGATGGTTTCTTGAGGTTGCGGTTTATGAAGGTGCCGGATTTTGTCGAGCTGTTTCCTTCCCGGGACGAGGACGATTGCAGGAGGAGGTGTTTGGCGAACTGCACGTGCGTTGCGTACGCGCACGATTCGAATATCGGATGCATGTTTTGGAGGGACAGTTTGATCGATGTGCAGGTGTTCAATGGTGTTGGTTCCGATCTATACATTCGCCTGCCGGCTTCGGAATTAGGTACGTCTTTTATTTGCTTTGTCGTAAATAAGGCTATTGTTGGTAAGTGAATTTCGAGCTTGTCTTATAACTTATGGTTGAAAAACTAGAATATGATAAAAGTGTTTGGTAAAATTAACTGAAATAAAATTTCAGTGGTCTTATTTGAAAAACCACCCAAGCAAGTTTATGAGATAAGCTCGATCTTCATAAAAAAGCTCGTTCTACCAAACCAAACTCATTTCAATACATAAAGCTTATAAGCTAATCAAATAAGTTATAAGCTAGCTTATATGCTTACCAAATACAACCTACTTCATGCTCTATTTCCTTACTTCATTGCTGTAGATAATGACAAGAAGAGAAAGCTTGTCATCATAATCCCAACAGTTGTGGCTTTTGCCTCCTTGTGTGTTGTATTAGTCTTCATTGCCTGGTGCTGCATGGTTAGGGGAAAAGGTAATTATATTAAACATTGGCTAGTGATCGATACATAACCGAGCATGATGGGTACCGATCTTGCATTTCACGTATTTCAGGGGAGAAAACGAGAAGCGTCAAAAGGGTATTCGGGTCCGGGCGTAAATATGCAGCCGATTCGACGAAACTTATACTCAAGGATGAATTAGAGAAAGTCAACATTGAGGAGCTGCCGTTGTTCACTTTCGACACTCTTGCAACTGCAACCGATGGGTTTAACGATAACAATCTACTCGGGAAGGGTGGTTTTGGTCCTGTTTACAAGGTACAAACCTGTTTCTTGCACTACAAGTAAACAGCTATTTCTTCGTTGAGTAAACCGAATGCACAAAGTGTTTGTATTGCAATTTTGATTAATTTTATTTTTTTCGGCAGGGAAGTTTGGTGAATGGTAAAGAAATTGCTGTGAAGAGACTCTCGGCAGCATCTGGACAGGGGATGGAAGAATTCATGAATGAAGTGATTGTGATCTCAAAGCTTCAGCACAGAAACCTCGTGCGGTTGTTAGGTTGCTGTGCGGAAAGAGAAGAGAAGATGCTCGTTTATGAATACATGCCGAATAAAAGCTTGGATTTTTGTCTCTTCGGTTAGTTGTTCAACATATATAATTTTCCCAATTTTATTAGTTTTATGTATTTAATTTCTGGTATTTTACAGATCCTACGCATGCGTCTCGAAAGGTTTTAGATTGGAAGAAGCGTTTTAGTATTATGGAAGGTATCGGGAGGGGACTCTTATATCTCCATAGAGACTCTAGGCTTAAGATAATCCATCGGGACCTAAAACCGAGCAATGTGTTGCTCGACGAGGAATGGAACCCGAAAATATCAGATTTTGGCATGGCTAGAATATTCGGAGGCAATCAAGATCATGGAAATACTGCAAGAGTAGTCGGAACATAGTAAGTCGCTTTAGAATAATGCACATGAATTTTCTTGTTTTGGATGAATGATAAATGTAATAATGTCTTATGATACTAAAACATCGTATTATGCTAATAACAACTAATGCTACTATGAAATTAATCCGCAGTGGATATATGGCGCCTGAATACGCAATGGAAGGCCGATTTTCAGAAAAATCGGATGTCTATAGCTATGGCGTGCTCATGCTAGAGATCATAAAAGGGAAAAAGAACACGAGTTATTACAATGGAGAATGGTCTTTGAGCCTTATAGGAACCGTAAGAAAGCAAAAATTCGCAACTATTGTAGCGAACTTCAAAATAGTGATCCTTTTTATATATATATATATCACTCGGAAAAAGTATTAACGATTTATCTTGAATCGAAATATTCAGGCGTGGAAAATGTGGAACGAACAAAATGGCTTGGCATTTGTGGACGACATGATAGCCAGCTCCGATTTGGGGTCGGATATTGTGAGGTGCATTCAGATTGCGCTCTTGTGCGTGCAAGAATTTCCTGTGGATAGGCCCACAATACAAACTGTGATCTCCATGCTCAAGCATGAGATCGTGGACCTGCCGGTGCCCGAGCAGCCTGTCTTTGCCGAGAAATGGCACGGTACGCACGCGCCCACGAGCCAATCTGGATACTCGGTTAACGAGCTCACTCTAACCGTTATCGATGGCAGATGACAAAAGAGTATCATATGAAAATGCTAGTTTTTTGTGGTTTTATTATGAAGTGGTTTTCCTTTCTTTTTTTTGAGTTTTGAGCATGCGTTGAATATAGTCTTTTAAAGTGTAGACACAGTGTGCGCACACACTGTGCATGCGTGCATAATTATGCTCGGTAATTACTGTTGTGTACATGTGTTCATTAGATGTGCCAACATTCACCTCAAAATTATTGGGGAAATTCTATTATAGGGCTCAATTTTTAAGTATTCTATTATGTTAAGGCTCAAATTATTACCTTTTTCAATACAAGTCCTCCAATTTGAAATACTCACTTAAGGGCTCAATTTTATCTTTAAATTCTTAAAGTAGGGCTTTCAATTAACACTGTTAACTCACTGTTAAAAACCCCAAATTAAACATCTTTTTTTTTATTGCCCACATCTGAGTCTTCTTCACGCCGCATGCCTGCTGCAAGACCACGCCATAGCGGCCTCGTCAGTCGTCAATCACCCACCTCTATCACTGTCCGGTCCCTATTTCTCGCCCCTCTCAGTTTCTAGCCCGCTACCGTCGCCGGCCTGCTCCGTGTCTGTCCCGTCCCTATCTCTCGTCCTCCTCCGTCGTCGGACCAACTCCGTCGAAGCTTTCAATGGTATATTACTTGATTTTTAGATTGGTTTGGTGAATTTGTTTTTCATGGAAGCCTTTGTTTCATGACTCCGGGTGGTCGTGAAATGGCGTCCAGGTCGTCGGAGCTCCGGGCATGGAGTGGTCGAGCAGCCGTGTGCGTCAATGGCGGGTTTCGGCAGCAGCTTTTCGGACGTGGTTAGAAACTCCTTGTGGTTCTCCGTCGTCTCAGGCATCTCCCGGATGGTCGAGAAGCGGCCGTAATCTGGTGACGGAGCTCGGTCGAGCAGCATGGGCGTGACAATGGCAGATGAGCTGGTAGCCTGGTAGTGATATAACATATAAGGAAGAAGATGACATGCTTTTAATAATGAAATGGCCATTGTGTCCCTCACTTATTATCATTGGTTGGGGTTATTAACAGTGTTAATTAGAAGCCTTATTTTAAGAATTTAAAGATAAAATTGAGCCCTTTAAGTGAGAGTATTTCAAATTTGAGGACTTGTATTAAAAAAGGTAATAATTTGAGCCTTAACATAATAGAATACTTAAAAATTGAGCCCTATAATAGAATTTCCCCCAAAATTATTAGATACACAAATTTTTGTCATAAAATGCTAGATATATTTAAAAATTTATATATTTATATTAAAATATATTATACTTTTATTTATATTTATTATTATAAATTTTATTTATAATAATCCACATATTACTTAGAAAATATAATTAACAAACAATTAGGACAAGTGGGCAAAAATCAAACAACAACATACATACAACATACATACCCAGTATATTCTCAACAGGTTGGGGTCTGAGGGGTCAGTTGTATACAGATCTTACCTTTGTAATTATACAAGGAGACTGTTTCCGTAGTGACTCAAGGTGCATTGCGTCGTTTGGTATATTTTTTTCTAGAGACTTCACTAATAGAAGAAGCACTAGAATTTAATTGAGTCATTTTGATCTAGTCCATTATTAACACTATGTCATGAGAATTGTCAACAATGACTCTTCCAGCTCCATTTGCAATGGACAAATGGGCAAAAATCAAAGACGTAGGATTTTCGTAAATTAATAGAACAAATAGCTGCAAATTGTTTGAAAAAAAAAATTGTGATTGATAATGAATATAATATAATTATATAATGATTAAAGTTGATAAATACGTAAGTGAAAAATATTAATTAATGATTAATGGGTATATAAATTACCTAAAATTTGAAAACATGAATATTATTGGTTTACATATATAATAATTATCTTTAACTGAATAGATAAATATAAAAAAATATTTGCATCCAAATTAACTCTTACATGTCCAGCTTTCCGTTATGCATGGGTTTCTCCTTTTTTGGGAGAATTTTTACAATGTAAAGTTAAATTATGACTTTACCTTAAAATAACCTTAAACTAACCAATTTTTTTTTTTTTAATATTTTAAAATGTAATAAAAATAAAAAAGAAAGAGGCATGCGACTAGAAAAGAAAGAAAAAGTGATTTAATAGCAAAATAGGTATCTCATTTGAAGAGATTGGGGTTAATGTTGTTGTTAATTATTATTTGTGTTTGTTTTTATATTAATTTAAATTACTTTACAATATATAAAATATGAATAATTTTCATTTTCTAAGTGAAAACAAATTTAACATTAGAAAGAAATTAAAGTTTATGAACGTACTTTCAAGTAATTTTGCATGTTAACAGCTATTTATATAAAGCTAATTTATCAAACAATTTTATAACCAGCCGTTAATACAATTCACTGGTCAAAACAGTTGACACAATCTACTAGTTAAAACATCTAACACAATCAGCTAACCGCTAACCGCTGATTATCAAACAAGCGTTTGTCCTTTTTAACAGAACTTATCCTTTACCACTTTGACCCTATAGATCTTTAAAAGCTTCTTCCAATTCTCAATTGGGGAAAACAAAAATCAAGAGGCCCGTTGACATAAGAGGCCATAAAATGTACTTCCTCCTATTTTTTTTAAATGTCATTATAATTTTATCAACTATTTGACAAATAAATGTCGTTTTGGATATTTTCTACATATTTTCCTATTGTTATCCTCATTTAGCTAATAAATACATTACGTCTTTTCATATTTGCTATTCACTTTTTCTTAAAATATTCATCTCTATCTTTATTAAATAAGGTTATTATTGACAAAAAAATATTCTTAATTAATGTGTAAATTTTCAAAACGACATTTATTATTAATAGGAGGTAGTATAACGCAATGATTACAGAAAAGAAAAGAAAAGAAAATGGCAATATTGAGATAAAAATGATGGCTATTTCAAGTGTCAAATGATTGGTCTTAAATTGTGCACGCCGAATTAATGCCTCTAAATATGAAAATCGTTAATATTGGTGGGAGTAATTGGGTTGTTGGATTTACGTCATTTCTCAATGTTTTTGTTATTATTATTTGTTTTGTTATTTCCTTTTCTTTTTGAATATTATTAAATAGTTACAAGTTGTATTGGTTTGGCCAAAATTTTTTTGAAAAGATTTTTTTTTGTTAGTCAAACCAAATAAATTAAAGAGAAGTTTTTTATTTACTTACTTGTGAAATAATTTAGTTTCTAGTATTTATTATTAATAATATATAATACTGATGTAGCGAAAGCGTGAACGAACGGGAAGATACAAGGAGATACTCTCTCCAGAACACGGGATACTCTCCCAAAAGAAAACACGATCAATTATTTTCATTCATCAAATTCTACTCCATAACAAATCACAACTGCCCTTTAAATAAAGTTATAACCCTAAACTTAGCTTATTCCCTAAGCTAACCATTATTTAATAAATATACTAATAATAATAATAATAATAATAATAAGAATAATAATAATAATAATAATCCTAATTTTAATCATATATAATCTCCATCATTCTCTCCCGGTGGAGCAGGATTCGGCCTCGAATCCGACCCATTCCCGTAGGAGAAGTGTGACCCGTTTCGTCCCCGATCGAACACGAAGCTTGAAGAACGCCCAACAACACCGAACGTAAACAGAATCTCGGTCAAAGACATAACTGCTGTGAAGACACATGTACTCGTCACCATGCGCAATTCCCGCAAAATTGAATGAACACTAAATACACCACTACGTTTGCCGCGCTCAAATCCAGAACAACGGCCAAGCATCCCGTTGTCGGGAGACTTCGCGAAAACAAATCGGAAAACGGTCCACCAATTATCGGGCATCGGCCTCGGCTCCGAAAAACCATCTTTGGTCAAAAACAAATCGGAAAACGGTCCATTGATGAGCGATTCCAGAGGATGGATGATCGCTTTGACGGTATGGACGAGCGA